GCCAAGTCTGGAGAGTACGCTGGATGCGGGAGAACTTCCTATTCAAGCTCTAGAAGTGTCTGCTTCACGCTTTTCGCGACACGCGGTCGAGCGTTATCATGCAACAAAATGACTTTGCGTTGATTGTTGACTACGGATAATCTTTTTTGCATCAATTCGTCACTCAGTCGGCATAATTGCTGATGGTAGCGATCAGCAGTAACGGTTTCATTTGGACCCAAGAGTTCGTAATACAGCACACCCTCCTGGTCCCACCAAACGCACAGCAAGGTCTTATGCCCATGAATATTCCTCTTCGGCGTTGAAGCAGATGGTTGGCTGGGGTCCACCCATGATTTTTTCCGCTTGGGATTATCAAAATAAATCCATTTTTCATCGCCAGTCACGATGCGCCACAAAAAACTCTTTTTTCTTTGCCTGGTAAGCAAAGAAGTCAATAGTCAAACGATTCAAAATGGCATTTTCTAACAACTCGTGTGGTAGCCATCTCCCTTCCTTATGAATTTTTCCCATGGCATGCAAGCATTTTGAGACGGCCTTTGGAATAACATTTAACTGTTTCGACAACTCTAAAAGCGTTTGAGCTGGATTCTCATCAAGCAATTCTTGCAGCTCGACATCTTCAAATTTTTTCGGCTGTCCTGGACGTTCTTTGTCTCTCACATCAAAATCACCGTTTCGGAAGCGTTCAAACCAAACTCTACATGTTCTTTCCTGTGATGGAGTTTCATCACCATATACTTCGGATAATAAGCAATGCGCTTTAGCTGCGGTTTTTTTGAGGTCGAAGTAGTGAAAAAGCACATGTCGGAAAAACAGCTTATTGCGATTCATTTTCAATCGATTAGAAAATCTCTTTGGCATCGAGAAATCTAACTTGTCAGGATTGAATCACTATCAGCGATGTCTAAACTACAAAAGACATACGACTTCATCGTCGAAACTCGTCAGCGTTGGAGCCAGCACCCTTTAGTAGCGAGCGGCAGGAATTAAGTTCAACACCTAATATATATATACTATTAATATTGAAAATAATTAAATATATAGTATAGACTGTTCACTATAAATTTTTAGCACTGGCAGTGAATATTGGAATACAGCCTTAATATCACTTATTTCGTAGACACAGTTGCTAGTTTTCTTCGGCTTAAAAACCGAAGATTTCATTTATTTTGCTGAAGACCAATTGTTACTTTCATCAAAATGGTTACGATATTGCAATCTATTCTTTTAAAAAACATAAAAAATGCGCACAAAACGTTTTCCATCAACCAGAGAATCAAAGATTCGTTAAAAAGAAATTGTAATCTCCGACCGAAAACTGAAAATCTGGCAATCATGAATCGTTGACGGTTGATTACGAATTTTCTAACCTTTCAATATATCATCTTTAGCATTTAATTAATTGTTTTTAGGGTATCGAATGACGAATTTGTTTTTCAAGTTTTCGTTTTTTACACAAAAAGATATCAGTCTACTTTTATCAAAATATAAGGACCTTATTTATCATATATATATAATAGATATTTTTCAGATAAATCAAGACTTTTACCTGTTTGTACTAGGCTCATTACGACGTGTCATACCAAAAAATTTTTGAAAAAAATCAAAAAATGACATTTTTAAAGCAATTAGAGTTGCAATCTTCTTCTTTTCTTATTGATTCTCGTTTCCAAGGATGGATATTAGAGTTGCAATAACTGTCAAAATAACGCAACAAACTGCATGACTTGCATACTTATTAGTCGTTTACAATCAGCACACAACATGAGTACGCGCATGAGTATCAAGTGCACGATGTAAACAAGACCTAATTATGTATTCCGAACGACAACGGTGGGTTGCCTTCCCATGGAGAAGAAACTACGGAACGGAATAATGGCTGCGTTCAGAACGGTTGTTTTGCAACTGTTGGAAGTTTCCTTCGCGCTAATTGGATCATACTTTTAGATCTAGAAGAATGGTCCTATCTCAGCAGACAATCATAAAACGGTTGTAAAACTGTTGAGTCTGCTGAACGCAGCCATTGACAGAAAAGAGATAGGATGAGGATAATCTAGAGATCCTCAAGTAAGGCCGGAATCAGACTGCGCATTGAAGATTGAAATTGAAGATTGAAGATTAAAATTTGACCAGTGAGGACAAAGGATTTTTAGCTCCTATTGTTTTGATTGGTCAAATTTCAATCTTTCAATCTTCAATCTCAATATTCAATGCATAGTCTGATTCTGGCCTAAGAGATGCGCGAACTTCGAGCATTTGCAAGAACATGGCGACTTCCATTATGTGTCATATGTGTGTAAGGGTGCAATCACAATAGAAGGAATAAGGAATTAGGAATAAGGAATAACGATTTCAATCTATCAGAAACCGTGTATTCTGCATCCAATTTCTGATAAGCTGAAATCGTTATTCCTTATTCCTAATTCCTTATTCCTTCTATTGTGACTGCACCTTCATACTTGTATGTTTGTAAGTAGTACAAATTACTAAATTTAGATAATAATGATTCAATATTATTATAAAATGTTATTATTCCATATAAGTTGTAAAATTGATGTGGTAATTGAAAATATTGTAACGTAGGCATATTTTTATAACTTATAATGTATATGACTTTATAACGCATAAATCCGGATCTACAGGTGTTTTAAGCCTTAAGTCGTAAGAAATTGACCAATTACAGTCGAATTCGAGAAGAATAATCGACTATGATTCGTCCATTTCTTATGGCTTAAGACTTAAAACTCTATTGTAGATCGGGGGTTATGGTTCCTATACATTGAACGCGGAAACGCTTGCTGCGCGGCAAAATGTGACGCGGTAGCC